TTTATTCTTCTTAGCAGTGTGATGAAGTAGAGATTAGTTCTATTATAGGTGAAGAGATAGGTCCCCCCCGCAATGTATATATATATATATATATATATATATATATAATATTTCTAAAAATTCAAGATAATCCCATGATTAGATATTCTTTACCCACACTCTTCATCATTCTATTATATATATTGCCTGCTAAAAGTCTGTCTTCATCATTATTATAGACAATCATCATCAGTAGATGAACATTCAGGCTAACATTACATCTTAACCAACTTTTAATTAATTCCATAGTAAAGAAAGAAAAGAGGAAAAATGAGGAAGTTGAAATCTGTGTGTAATTTTCATTTTTCAATATTATGAAAATTTCTAACAAAAATTTTAATATTATATGATGGAAAAAATTGTAAAACCCAGCTGAGAAACTTAAGCGTGTGTTAGATAATATCAAATTCCAATATCACTGGGCCTTAAAATTGGTCTAGGTTTTTGTAAGAGGACTTTTTGACCTCCTTATTGTAATAAATCATTTGCCTTGAAGGTAATAGAATGTGCCATCGGTTTAATGTGGCTCTTGGAGTGACCCTGGGCTCCAGTACTAGCTGATAATATCACAGTCAGCCTTTCACATCACAGTCTCCACGTCTCATCTTTATAATAGAAATGTTGAAGAACTTGGCACAGTGCTATAACCAGAGATGCTTGCTCAACACTAACCTTAAACATTTAGTAGAAACTCAATATGATATAGTGGTTTTCAAAAATGTTTTATGCTTCTTGGAATACTCCTTTGGGGCTCGCCATAAACACAAAAATCCTTATGTTTATATTTTGATGACATCTGTATCTAAGAGTTATTCACTAAAACTCAAATTTCCATGAAAAGGGTAGTTACTCATTCAGTTAATGAGAGAACTCCTTATCCACACTAGGAAATCCATTCAGGATATGCATAAGAGGAATTCAGGAAGCAGTTATAAAGGAGGACAATCTGAGGAAAATTGGAAAATATGGTTGCCCTAGATGCACATAACAGTTAACTTACACCATTGTGCTAGACCTGCGCCAAACATAGTTATAATGTGTTGGTACCATGGACGTTGAAAATGCCAAAGAAAATACCATGAATGCTGCAGTGAAATACTGCAGAGTACTTGATGACGTACTAATACCAAGCTTCTCAAAGAAGTTGAGCTGCCGTAATTTGCCCTCCTCTTTTAGTTATGGTTAAGTAAATCTTCAAAGTACCTTGCCGCACATTCTTTCAAAGACAATATTAGCAAATTGTGTGTGTTCCAACACCAGAAACTCAATGAGAAAAGGAGAAGTACAGAGAAGTATGACAATCTAGAGATGGCAGTCTGGTTCTAGGAGTATCCTAACCTGTGGGCGTCAGTGTCAACATAAGGAAGTCTAAAGGTTAAAAGAGACCTGGCAGACCCTAGGAGACTGTTGTAATAGCCCACAGTCACCAAGCAGATAGCCCTGCTGAGCTCATTTCTGATTGGATGCTCCTGTGCTGCACTGTAAGAAAGAATGAGAAGCAGAACGGTGTTCCCAGGGTACTGTCTGAATCACCCTGATATGAACATGAATTATGGAAATGTCATTGAGAAAGGCAAATATACTTCCTCTCTGGGGAAAATTACAGCCCTGATGTCACAATAACTTTATAACTTTGCAAATACAAAACCTAGCATACAATTAGGAAAAAAATAACCCAAACCAGGCATGCAAGACGATAAGTAGCCTGCACAACAACAAAAAAGCAAAAATCGCCCACAACACCAAACTGAAACCACAAAACTGCTGACCTGTCACAGCTATAGGAATGCCATAGAAGACCATGTGACACTTAAGCCAACTAAAGACATGATAGACTAGTAAAATGTACAAAAGGAGCCAAACAACTAAGGCAAAGGAGCAAAGGGAAAAGAACCTAGCCAGGTATGGTGTGGTGCACACACTTTTAGCTTCTGCACTCGGGGACTGGGGAGTATAGGCAAGTGGATCTCTGTGAGTTACAAGCCAGCCTGATCTATACAGTGAGTTCCAGCCAGCCAGGGTTACAACTATTAAATGAAGACCATGAATTTGATAGACTGTACATGAAAGGGTACATGGGAAGGATTGGAGGGAGGTGTCGGGTATCCTGAATAGTAAATATAGCGACTCTCTCAATTTCTCTCTCTGTTTCTCTGTCTCTCTCACTCTCTCCCCCACTCTCTCCCTCGCTCCTTTCCTTCCTTCCTCCCTGTCTGTCTGTGGATGTGTTTACATGAAGAGTATTATTTGGATGGAGATACACTGAGTCAATCATTTTATCCTTTGCTTGATATGTTCCACTATAGGAATCTTGACGCTGCTTCAATAGCACCACCATACTGGTCAAGTGAGCCTGTGACCCCTAGGTGTGGGATAATTGCCACCACAAAATATTTTGTGAGAAAAACTCCCTGTCAGTGTTAAACAGCAGTATGGAAATTACTCAAGAGAGAAGTGCATTTTTAAAAGTAGGATAATTCGTAACTGAAATATTAACTGTAATAAATATGCCAGTATGAACCTTGATGTATCCATTTGGACATTTTCCACATCCCAAGTGGCTAGCCTAATACCAATTAAAGCATCACAGATTGCTATTATCTTCCTGCATTATTATTTTCATGAATTAATTTTGTCTTAAAACCCAGACCTTTTCCAAATGAGAATACATTTAAATATCTGAGGTACAAAAGTGAAGTTGAATGTCAGGACCCATAGATATCTATAATTTCAAATTCTAAAAATACAGAACTGTGGGAATAATGCTGGAAAAATTAATAGCTGAGAAAGTGGCCTTTGGGGTCACCTGATCATGCCTCTAGGTGTTTATAGAGAATCCAAATAGTAGCTCTATTTCTTTCTGAACCTGCTTATCACTTTTGTTCATATATAAAATATATATCCATTCATTAATTTGTTCATTAATTTATCCATACACATATCCATCCATGTTTTAGTCTTTCATTTGATAGTATAAGGGGTCATTTAAATGCCTGGAAAACTGATTAGTCATGAAAAAAGAAGTATGTGTTAATGTACTTGCTTTACAAGAGCTCACAGCTCTTAAATCATCTTAAGATTGTGAAAGATGCCTAAAATATGGATAAAGTTCTGATTACATGGATCATGAAACTATCTCATTTTTTAGGGCTGTAGATCAAGCACAGATGCTTAATGTGCATTAAGACAGAGACATGACTGGGTACAACAACTTAGGAGAATATTAACTGTGTACCTGTGAAGGCTTTGGGAAGAGGGCCAATGAAATCGATGGGATGCTCTAATACTGAAGGATTTTCTGTTTCATAGCTTCAGGCTTCTTTCTGTAGTATGACACCATTATAGACTTTCATTTTTAGGTGATGGTGGCAAAGAGGAGGAGGAGATACAAGAGACAAGAGAAATCAAGGAGTTATTGCACATATACAAACCAGATAGACCAGTCATTGATTAAGATAGTGATGGTGGAACTAGTAGTTGGGAACAGATTTTTGGAAGGGGCAAAAAATGTGTGGGCAGTAGTGATGTTCTTAATAGGGATATATGGAATTAAAGAATATTTGACAAAAAAAAAAACATGGTTTTGAACAATGTGAAGGAAAAGGAGCACTGAGAAGACATGAGTGGCGCATCTCTCCTATTGCTGGGCTTTTTCTAAAAGGTGTGAAACTCTCCTTCATTTCCTTGAGTTTCATCCTTTGTCTTCTGCCACTGGCATCTGCTGTCTGTATTGGCACTGCCCCATATTCTGGTAATCTTGGCTCTGGTGTGTCTGGATAAAGTCAAGTATTCTTGATGGGTGATCAGTGCACAGAAGTTCTGCCCTACCCTACACATTGCCTTAATCTTACATTTTCTATTTTAATAAGAAGAGGCTAAAGTTAGCAATAATGGCAAAAAAATGTTTTCCTTGTTGAAAAATGGAAAATTCTTCTTAAATTGTAAATTATCTTTAGTCTCTATTATGCCATGATTAGTCTACATGATTAGTCATTTCTCTACATGAGTTTTAACTCCTCTGTTCTCTTAAAAACATGTAGACAATGTTATATCTTGATTCATTCTATCAAAACCCCTCTGTTTTCTGATGCCAATGACTAGTATCACCTTATAGGATTTATTACGAATAATAATACTGTATTTTCTCAAATTATTCTTCAAATTACATATCTTGATATATATGATATATATTTTATTATATAATATATATATGATTATATATATAAGTTTTTTGGAGGGAAGCATGCGTACAGAATCCTTTGAAAGCCATTTATCTATAAAGTATCATAAATTACTGCTGAAAATGTCACGGATATTATTCAGAGTGTTCATGGGGATCATAGGATTAATTATAAGTTAAGAGATGTGAAGTTGGCTTGAAAAGCAAGTGCCTATGGGTAGCAAAACTGAAGCATTGGTTAAAACGACTGATCACTTTTACCTTCCTTAAAGTGTGAATGGTCCTAGTTTGTGCATCAGCAAGTTATAAATTACTGCAGGCATGGATGTTCAGATAAGCCCATGAATGGTTACGACTGCAAATATGAAATCTTAAGATTCCAACTGAGTAGTACCACCTAATGTTTCTATGATGCTTTGACACTTAAATGTTAAAATACTTATCTGTTGAAATCTTTGTTCTTTCTTGCTTGAATTCAATGACACTTTCTTCTTTGGTTTGTGCAGAATATCTCTCAAACTGTTCCCAAGGAAAACTTACAATCCCTGTTGAAATTGCTTATAAAAGCTGCTTAAGTTAGCCCTACTTATTGTATGCGTTCTGCGTTTATAACCTGCTAAGAGCAATAGAGAACTATTCCCACTGTGAGCTTTGTTAGAAGCAGAGGACATTATTGTCTTGTTGTCCCTTTACGATGGTTAAAATGTTCCCTTTCTCCCAGCTTTGGATCCTGTGATAATCTGTTCACCAGCGGAGTGCCTGACATGTGTTTGTTCCTTAGGCAAACGTGTAAAAAACTCTTCAAGTTGGAACGGAGAAGTAGAAAGAGGAGCTTTCTGCTGTGCCTGATGACAGTTTTTGATTTGCCACATTCAAAATTTTTCTGGCTCCACGCTGGAGCGGTAGTTATGGCGATTCCTAGGTGTTGGTCGGATTCTGAGGAAGGGGCAGACGTTCCCTTGAGAAGTAAAGATTCAAAACAACTCCAGAAATGAGCGCCTGTCTCCGTTCATTTCTCACAGAGCAGCAGGTGTGTACCCCGTGTTAACAGGGTGGACTGTGACCTACTCTTGCTTATGGTTACTGTTAGCTTTCCAGGTGCTTGATTTCAAAAGGGGACAACAAAATTGGTACAGTTTTAGAGATCAGAGGGCAAAGAACTGACTCTACAGTTAATAAGAAAGCAATGATTTTTTTTTAATTAAAAAAAAAAAAAAACCCAAATGGGAAGAAGCATCGTTTTTTTTTTGAACTGGCTCACACAACCCACAGGTTGGATGTTGCACCTAGAATAAGACAATATTTTTGCCATTGGTGAGCTTTAAAGCTGTCACCACCAGTGACCCTGGAGTGCCACTTTCCTTAGAATTGGAAAAAAGTATAAAAGCCTTGTATTTTCCTGAACATCTGTCAGTGTTCAACCTGCCTATTATTTATAAATTTGCATGAAGAGCACTGAGCCAACAGGCGTTCACTTAATCTCCATTAACCAAATCCAGACAGACTTCTCACCCAATCTATTCTTTATATATTGGAATTAAGACTGAAAGCTATGTTGTGCCCTACCTTAAACAATTATACACACATACACACACATACATATTTGTGTATATATATATATATATGTATACACACACTCTCATACACATATATATATATATACACTCTCATACACATATTTATATATATATATATGTATATGTACATATGTACACACACATACACACATATATATATAGTCAATACGTCCTGCTTGTTAACCATTGTTGTCTATGATGTTCTTTCCTTCAGAGAATGGATTTTAATTTTGCAATGTACAGAAAGGAATTTAAAAAAATATTGTCACATATGGAATGATCATCACTAAACCTAATTGAGTAGAAGAAGATGATAGAGCCTGCCTTCCTTTTGGAATGTTTTCAAAATATACTGACTTTGTCGTTCCACAAGTCACACCAGGTCTTTTCAACGGGACAGCACCATGTTATTTATGTGGACAGGTGTCCCAAGGAAAGATTACTGAAAGCCATTTCATTTGTAACTCAAGCGAACCAGGAAGTTTAGGAGAAAATGTTCTTAACAATCCCAAACCACTATCAAGGATGCCTTCAGTTCTGGTTCTTTTCAAGTCCCACTCGCTGCACACTCATTTTGGAGCACAGTTTTTGCACTTGACTCTGACTCCCATTTGCTTTTGCTGTACCGAAGCTGAAATGGTTGAGGTGTATAGTTCTTGACTAGCCTTAAATTTTAGGCTAACACTTTCCTGCAGAAAGTAGGTAGAAACTATCCGTTCAAATTATTCTATATAAATGAGAGGTGAATCCTAAAAAACAAATGTAATATCTAATTTGGCAGGTGAAGCACATTCCAACTGAACTAAAAAAAAAAAAAATCTCATGGTCTCTAAACTTTCCAGTGCTGGAATATGTAATTCATATCTTTAAAAAAAATCTACCCAGATTCTCTTCAGGTATTATTTTCCTGTCTTGAAATAGTTTTTAACTTTCTATGATATTCATCCTTATCCTGATTGCTTCTTACTATTATCTAAATTTGCTAATTTTTTTTGTCTGTGTTCCACCGGCAACAGAGAATACACATTGGGGGACTAGGAGTAGAAGGACATCTTTCCCTAAAAAACTCTGAAAAATGCCAGAGGCATTTACTGGGTACCCAGAGACAAAGTGAGGAGTGGTTCGTTTGTTAATAGCAAATGGCAAACTGAGGATGAGCTGTCTGTTCCTGAAGGGAGAGCAGTGCTCTAGAGGCAACACAAACACTCCTCTGCTTCCATGAACTATGTAGGAGGGTTGGAAGTTCTGAGAAATAGCATGAGTCCATCTGTTCAGAGGATTCCATTCCAGTAAAGGTCTTCATTTGCTCAGTGCACAGACCTCAGATGTTTCCTCCATGAAAAGAGCTCACTAGTCTTGCATTGATACAACATAATAAATTGCACCTTGTAGAAAATAAAATGCAGAATGGCAATGCCACTGCTGAGTTTAGAGTGTCAGGGTGATGATTTAATCCCATGTGTAAGATAGACTTCTTAAGAAGCATCTTACTGAAAGAGGAACTAGGAACTCTGTCCAAGTGACAATGTTGGCAGCTGGGAATGCAACAAACTCAAGAGATTGTAAAGTTAAAAACTAGCAGGCAGCAATGGTGGTGTAAAACTCTGGTATCTGTGCCAGCAAGAAAAGGCTGTGTCAGCTCCTCTAGTGCTGGGACTCTCTGCTGGGAGTGCAGAGGACTGGACGCCACACCCAGGGACTCTTCACCCCTCTGCTTCCATGTAAGCTCACACTAACAGGATTCGTTAGTTATCTGTAGGTGTCCGGAATACTCTGTGTGATCTGAAATGGCTCTTTCTCTAGTTATCTAGGCCCGCCAAAATTTTCAAAAATTTGGTGGAAAGATGAACTGAAAGCAGTTCAAGATCCTTTAGTAGTCATGCTGACTCTTGTGGAAGTCTTGGATAGACAACCTTCTGTTGCTAGATGGTAAAGCAAATGTCAAGACTGGTCGAGCACCAGAGTTCTGTGGAAGAAAAAGTGAACTGTGGTGTGAACATGCAGTGATGATCAGAGCTATAGGTGCCACATCTATTACTATGGGAGTAAAATATACACTTAATTTTAATGGTATGCAAATGAGGATACTTATGAAAACATTTCATTGGCCGCTGTCTTGTAGTAGCTTGTCTATACCTGAAAGCTATCTGTGCAGCTTGCAACCTTGCCAGGCAGGTGTCTTTCATTTTATGATACCTTATTGTATAACATGCTTTGAGATAGGGTGAATATGTGCATGTACAGTTATGACCAAATTAATGGCAGCTCTTCTCTAGCTTAAGTGAAGAAAATCTGTTACCGTGGAATAATGATGCTTTAATTGCGCACTTAGTATACAGATAGTGAAACCAGAGCTAAATTCATGTACTTGTAGGAACTACATTAAAAAAAAATTCATTTGCAGTGAGCAGCCGTTCTATTCCGAGGAAGGAAAAGTTCATTCACATCAGCACTTAAGATTATGAAGGCATTCTGCAGTTCCTTGTGCTTTTACAGAGCAGGCTAAATTTGTTGGCATCTTAGTGTAAAATGGTGTCTATTTGTGATGTTATTAAGAAGCTGTTACAAAGGTTGGACACCGATTGCATTTAAACCTGCTGTCTTGTCACGGAAAGACTACCACACTTTCTTGCCTTCTGCTTGCTTAAATAAAGAATGTTCATTAGTATAAAAATAAATGTTTTGCTAATAACATGGGTATTTTAGTGAAAATGTAACTCCCTTTGAAATGAAATTGACTCCACTGCTCAAACACACCGTCTCCCATTAATGTGTGTATGTGACTCATCCTAGAGCAACAAGGATATAAATGGTATTCCAAAGTACTCCATAACAAGATTTTAATGACTATGTTACAGAAAAGAATATGTTATTCTGTAAATGGCAGGAGATTCACATTGACGCTGCAGCAACTCGGAAATGATTGTACAAATTTACACATTGCAAACTGAAAAAACAACAACAACAACAACAAAAAAAAACCAAGGGGTAGGCTAGCATTCAATTAAAGAATAACAACATCAAAGTAATCCTTGATACAGCAGGGCATCTTCACATCTGCATTTCACTGTTAAATGATCACGTTTCAGGTTTTATTCCTAGATAAAGTGTGGCTTTGATTCCCTAGATACCTGTCCTGTATGCAAAGTCTCATGGATGTTGGCTCATCTAAAACACAAAGAAGGAGGTACAGAAAGATGGGAAATAAGAATCTGAGAAAGGCATAATATGTGCCCAATGACAAGAGAAAGATAGAATTCACTGTGCATACAGATGCCTTAAAACATTTTATTTCTCTCTGTAACTACTGAGTCCAATTAGTGCTTTCCATATGCACATGGATGTAGAGCCAATCCCCTGAGCAAGGGCAGTGTTAAGACACATGTGTTTGAATACTGGTACTTACAATGTAGATGCTACTGAGTGCCTGACACTATCTTTAGCCCAAGTCTGCCTTTCTTATCTCACAGCCTGTGATTCACACTTTAGAGGTGATTGCTCTCTAAACACTAACCGCCTGCAATGGTCTTTAGTCCATGTCTAAACTTGTTAGCTTGAGGCCATTGGATGCAGATGCTAGAGGCCTGATCTTTACCTTGAATCATTTCGAACCATCTGCAGAACTGATCATTGGCCCCTGTCAGCCTGATGCCACAGGTCAACCTTTTAACCATTACTTAGTGCCATCTTGTATGAAAAGACATTGTTTTACCCACAGCTGTCAAAAAGTGTGAAATTCTTGATATATGACGTTTAAAAGCAATATTATTGAAAGAGTCAATTGCAAGGTGAGTTACTATAAGAAATAAAAAAAATTTACCCCAATCCAGTCATTATTTCTAGATTTAAAAAAGAAATGGTAATACTGCTTGATGGGAGTTCTACACATGACTTTTTGTGTCTTGTATGAGAATTATCATTATTACCATCTGCTAATTTTTAAAATGTATTTTCTGAGATGGACTCTTTGCAAGGGATGTTTGATTTAATCATAATAGCAAATGTATGTAATATTATATAATTGTATAATATATGTAATATTAGATAGTAATATTGTTCTAAAATTATACATGGGGAGATGAAGGTCCATGCAGTTTAAATAATGTATGTAGTCCCACGGTGTTTGAAAGCCAAAGGGCTAGATTTGAACCCAGAATCTGCCTGCAGAGGTCATGCTACTACCATTGTGTCCCTCCCCAGGCTTGTCTCCCACTTATTACCAAGTCAGCAGAACTTGGGAAGAAAGGAAATTTACACATTTAGGAACATAATCCTATCAAGAATTTTTCTAATTCGCTTTTACAACTGGAGAAAGAAAAGATTTAAATGTCCTTCCAGTGTTCAATTTGAAGAAAAATTAAGGACGTTTCATAATGATCAGAGCACAAGGAACAAACAGAATAAAAATAACAGACTTTACTTATTTCAGATTTAGCGAGTATCTTACGCATTGCTCACTTATTTTATTTTCTTAGTTCAGATTAGCGAAGAGATTTGATACGCATATCTGAGACCCTAAGGCTCTCTGGAATAGATTATTTCTGGACTGGTATACCTGGATGCTTCAGTCCTAACACTTACGTTTATTGTTATCACATTAGCTTCTTCATCCTCCTGGGCCAATTGACCATAGCTGTGTTTGACACCAGGGAAGCAATCCCTGTTATTAGTACTCTTTTGAATTTACATGGGTTCAGTTTGTCCAGCAGCTGAATGTAATGTGCCAGCTGCTAGGCAGAAAAACAAGGTTGTATGAAGAACAGCTGTATGAAGCATGACTTCCTCAAAGGCAGATGTACTGAAGAGTGAAGATAGCATGTGATACTGAAGCAAAACTAGGGTTATTTATCTGTCTCCTACATGAATGTTGCATCTGTAGATTTTGCTCCCCTGAAACCTCCTGGTATAGTTACTGAAAACTTGCTGAAGATCTCCTTAGAAAGTGAAGACTTTACTGTTTGACATTTTATCAAAAACAAAATTTTAGTGTAAAGTGTTGTATTTTACTTCTGTAAATAGGGTAATGCTTATATGGTGTATTAGTAACATTTCCTTGTTAAAATGTAGGATTGTATAAATATTACTTAAGCAACTCTTACATGCTAGGACTTTCCAGTTTTAGTTTACAGCAAGTGAGATGGTATCTTCACCTACCAGTGAGCCAGAATTTAAGGTTGGTCACTTCACCGTCTTCAGTGAGCCTAGAAATTACTAAATGATTGTGGGTTTTTTTGCTTAGTGTTAGTTAATGATTTTGTTTTTAAATATCATTTGAATTGTGCTTATTTGGTAATTTAAATTGGAGATGGTATATCTATACCCATAATCATGTTCTATCTCTAAAATAACATATTGGAATATATTTGAGAATTTGTATGTCTTGTTGGTTCTACCATCATATTTGGTATGAAACTAGATGTTCCCAGAGGGTATGCTGACACATGCTCATGTGCTCAGTTTATACTATGCTGAAAATGGGCAAATCATTATTTTATTTTCATCCATAGCCCTCAGACTTACCTCGATTTCTATCACAATACTTTTTCCACTCTACTTCCAATTTCTCTTCTTCAGATTTATGCATTAGAACAATTTCATATTTAAAACTGTTATTTCATGGAGTAGCAATGCTGGCAAAGCAGTATGTGTGTATAAACATGACAATGCTTAATTCTCACGGAAGAAGTTGACAACATCGTCTGCATTTTATATATGAGAACACCGAGAGGGCTGAAGTCTGAAAGTAACACACAGCCTGGGGTGTATCCCTACCACATTGGCTTAAATCCAGTGTCACATGTCTGACCATAGTGTGTCCTAATCAAATAGTTAGAACAGACTATCCACTGTCATCAGATATTAGAAATTATCCTATTTGATACTCAAAAAGGGATTAAACTAAGAATATTATACAAAGCATGAATGTGAGAAAAATTGCTTTATTTACATTTCAGTCCATGCTTATAAGATGATTCTTATTTTTATGCAACTACTCTTATGTTTAGGTTTCTGGTGTTTTTAGCTAATATTTTAGCCAAGAGAGTAATACATTATAAAAATATGCATTTATATTCTTGTGTGTATGGATGATATACTTACATGTATTTATATGTCTGCATGAATATATATATATGTATATGTATACATACAGACATACACCTACAGACTTTCAGAGATGAAGGGAAATTGGTTTTATTTAAGGAGGCTTCTGATATTGTTTGTTTTCAAAATCATATGAAAACAAAGCTTTAATTAATATGCAAATGGTCAACAGAGTCTTCCCAGGATTTTATGGACTAACAGGATCAAATGTTTACCTTAGAACAAAGATATAATGATGAGACTACCATAGAAACCAGCCAGTGACACAGAGCTGGGCTGAAAGGTACCGAGGACCCACCCTGCTCCTGTGTCTCAGGGGGCGCACATTCCTGCTTCTTGTTCACCTGCAGCATTCTGCCTCATTCCTTTATCCCCCCTCTAAAACTAACCACCTGTTCTCTGCCAGTCTTTTCCAACACTTCTTCACCTTTTTTGTTATTTCAACATGAGTTTCACAAATATTGTCCCTGTGTCGTATTTATATTTATTTATTTATTTATTTATTTATTTATTTATTTATTTATTTATTTATTTATTTATTTATTGTGTTTATATTTAATCAGTTTTCTGACTAGGAAAAACAAATTTCAGAAAACATAGGTGAACCTTTCCCACTTAGTGGTAGTCAAAGATTATGTTATGTAGAGTTTATGGATAAATGTTATTATGAAAATACTTTTTTCCCCACAGTGATCAACCATCACCATCAGCATCTATGACATAATGTCTCTAGAAATAATATTTTCTTCCCTCTTCCTTCCTGGGAGTCCTTTGCAGACTGTGTAGAATGCCACTGAAAGGCAGACAAACTGATGAGACTCCCAAGTCTTCCTTCCTGATACTTCCACCTTCCTTAATCTCTGTAATTCAGCAAGCCCTTCATGTAACCCTGAACACAAGAAGAACAATGGGAGAAATGGCATTCAACCACAAGACAAAATCAAGATGGCTCCCCTTGTGTTTCAAAAAGATTTTTAATTTTCCAAGTCCTTTTTATGGTATGCGATTAGCCATAAAGGAGCAAAGTCAAGAGTTATTTTGTTATTTAGTTTAATATTTTCATTTTTCATAGCAGATCACAAAACAAAGTAAAACCAGCCTTTTTAAAAAATTGTTATCCATATGTCACTTAATGAAATAAAACCTAGTGTTCACATTATTTTAAAATTTCACATTTTGTTATGCCCACGGGTAGTGGATAACATTTTCGTTGCTATCGTAAAATACCCTGTCTGTTAGTAATGTAAAGTGAAGGGTGGATCAGCACAGCAGTGGCTTTTTTCCTGTATTGTTTACATAAATGTAAATAATGTATTTACAACACGTTCTTTTTATTTTGTTCCTGTATGTGTATTTTGGATACTAATATGTTTGGATAATAATAGGCGTGTAAATTTACTGTGAATCTTCCTAATAATTCAAATTGCATTAATAATACAGTCCATTTTATGAGAAGATCTGCACACTTTGAAATTTTGTAAACCATTGCACTGTTCTTCATTCTTTATTTCCCTAAATATTTTTTGTTCACACAAAGGAGTGATATTTTTTCAGAGTATATTAAGGATTCTGATAGGGTCCCCAATTTCTATGCTGTTTGAGAGTGAATTTTGTGGAACAAGTCTCCAAGGGTTGAGTAAGCTCTGATTGTACTCCAGTGACCAAAGATGTTTTCCACAGAGGTTTACCAATTTTAGCCACCCCGTCTGCACAAATGAGAGGCCCCTCAGAATCATTCACTTTTTCCGATAAGGGAACTATTGTCAGTAGTGACTGTGTTTGTCATAGTTGGAATCATTTGAAATAATGATGACAGTTGTGTTAAAAATATTGCAAAATTAGAGAAGAAAAATATACATATTTTTTTAATAAGTTGGCAATGTGAACATGAAGGTCCTGGGGAATTCAGTGATATGTTTGGTACAGTGAGTGCCAACTAGTAAGCATTAGTTACTGTTTACTTGTCCTGAGATGGCAGCTTTATTATAAGGTACTCATTATATTTTCTTCTTCCTTTCCAGGTAACCCATTAACCACACATAAATCAAGCAATCCTCAAGGCTGGGTTCATGGAGACACACGCATAGAGCCTTGACTCCTGTGGCGATCTTGAAGATTTTTATACCTCTTAGAAGAGGGGCTTTTAAGCCTGTTCCCAAGGGATTCCATGACTTGTTATCAGCTTCCTATTGAAACCAAGACTTTGCAAAAGTCTGATGTGAACTTCCTGTCCTGAAGACTTCGTCAGATGTGAACTGCTCTTGGCTTGTTACACTTCTGAAGGAAGCAGACAGTGCTCTCCATGAAGCCGGTGCAGAGCTGGTGTTTTGGGGGTGACACCAGAGACTGCCACCTGTCGGGTTCCTGGCTTCAGCTGTGACTGTTCTTGTTTCTGAAGCTGTCTCCCAAGTCCACTGTCCTGTCATGGATACGTTCCTGGGTCCTTTGTTCATTGTGTAGTAGGACTGTACACAGCTTGGATGACGTTTCCTTTGCGAACTCCTCTGGCATGGCGTAGACTGAGACAATTTTACTGGTATTCTAATCTTGAAACTCTGAAAGCCTACATATTTTAACATCTTACTCTTGCCTTTGTGAAAGGAATGGAAGCATTTCTCCATTGATAATGGTAACCATTGGCAAGTCACCATGACCTGAATACATCAATCATATAAGAATGTATAGACGTGCTGACATGTTTCCCCAAGGCTAACCCATGGCTGCCGCTCTCTGTCATTTAAACAGATAGCAGTTAGGATTGGATTCCCATTCCCATTGCACAGTACTCCGTACCTCCAGCACACTTTCCCATGCAGTTCTTTTTTTTTTTTAAGTGTACTTTCTTTTTAATGTTTCCCTTTTCTTTCCTTTACAGAAATCATCAGTGTGTAGTCAAGTTAGTAGGTAGCCTTCCATTTAAAACATGCCAGGGATGCCTGTGCTTTTCTGACTTCTCATCACTTATTTTTATTTTAACATTTTCTTAAACCATCCTTTCTGTCTCATTTTAACATTGTCTCTTGCTCGATTCCAATGACTGCTTGAATGCTTATATATTTGTTCAGTCTGTGGGTAGAAAAAATTGTTCATTTTCCTTGACCTCAAAGGTCTAAAATACTTGCTTACCATTTTTTTCCATTCAAATGATTTCTTAGGCCATTTTTTTTTGCCCATATTTTCTTAGCCATCTGAAACTTGTGATTTTTAGTTCTTTAGGAGAGTCTTACAAATATTTAAAGGCCTTAAACTTTGATTTGCTTTTTTCTAAGTTGTTACAGAATGTCTAATTTTATACTGCATTTATTTTGTTTCACTTGTGATGTGGAAAGAGAGAACAGTGGGTACCACTAAGTAATAATACCGTGTAAACCTGTAGTTGGAAGGAATGTAAAGGCAAGGATTTTCCATGTCTTAATAATTTCAGCTTGATCAAAAGATGCTTCACAGATAATCCTATTAGATGGTCCATAATTTTGGTAGAAGAGTGAAGGTATTTTGAACTTCTTATACTTCTAAAGCTCACTGACAAGGCCAGTTAACCATATGTTGGTTTCTGTGATGGAGGTTCAAATGTTATAGAGAATTTGGTGTTACTCTGTAACAATATTGAAAGATTCATACATTAACCAGACCCTTTACTGGGAAAAACAACTGACAGTGTAAAATCTGTTAAAAATTAAATTGGAAAACTATATTTTTAAATATTGAGCTGAAGTCAACTGCCTCATGACTACTTGGAATGAAATGATTCCTGCATCCCTTTTTATTGAGCATAAAACCAATTGGGTGGTTCCAAGTAGGTTGTACAATGGGTCAAAACTACACAGAGTCAAAATGAAAGGAATAACAGTTGTGCTGGCTTTTCTATGTTGAATAAAATATCATTAATTTCTTTGGAACAAAATGAAAAACTATATCATTTTGGACATTATGAATTTATCCTGGGTTTGTTTGAAACTATGGATCATGCTTCTCATTTTGAAAATTTTGTCATTTAAAACAGCACTGGAAATTCTGTATTATATAAAAGTGTAATACATGCATATCGATAGAAAAAATAAATGGAATTTCAAATATATGAATTAGATTATTCCCAGTAGATTAATGTTGTGACTATTCAGAAAAAGTGAATAAAATTGGAATATAAAATTGACTCACTTTCACAAGTACAGTTTGGAGAATCTGGTTTCTTGTATTCTATTTTAAAAGTACCTTAATTAGTAACCAATACAATTCCAGATTTAGAAATACACTAACAAATTCTTCAATCCTCTTTTAATAAAGTTCTGTGCTAAACTCTCAGTTTACAAAAGGTTCCAATATTTGACCTGCTTCTTAAAAATCCATGAAATCAATACATTGGTGCTTGTGATGCTCATCTGCAAATCAACTATGAACACAGATGCAAAATTCATCTCATAATGAAAGCTGTAAACATGGTTTACCTTAGAAAATGCATTAGAGTAGAGCTAGCCATCAATATCATGTCTTGCATACCTTTGAAAATGCCTTTTTTCTGACCCTGTTTAAAACTCACAAGAAGCTACAGAAGTAGCATAGGAGTCCCTTTGCCCTTTTCCCATCTTTCCCCCAGTGATAACATCTTTCAAAATTGTCATACATTGTCAAAGCACAGAAGTGCACTTTAGTGTAGTACTATGAGCTCCAAAGGAGGTTTATTCACACTTTTGGTCAGTTTTCACATGAGCCATGCATGTGTACTTTCATCTCTTTAAAATGTACTAGTGTCCTGTTACTGTAGGATACTGGAATATGCATTAGATGGGAAGGTGAATATATAGGCCAACAAGTGACTGGTTGTGACAATTCTGAAGTTCCTACTTTTAGAATAATATAACTTTATTTTAATTTTTGGAAATTTTTTGTTGTTTTATGACAAAAAGAAAATTTACCTTTAACTCCAGATGGAACCATAAATTATTTTAAATTCATTATTATTTTTAATATATAGTAAGACGTCTGAGAACTATGGTTGAAATGAAAAAGCCCTTTTCCTTCCTGGGATTTGCTTCCCTTACTAAATGTGATTATGACATACTGTGGTTCAATTAATTTATGTTTGTGTATATCCAAGTACCCATGCACAATGAATATAAACTGATGAAAATTTTAGTGCACATTTACATTTATATGTGAAGAAAAAAGATATATGCCAAAAAAATCAAGTGGTATGTTTTTCATCATTCAGCCTTTCTTGTTTTGACTAAGTAACTTCTGAGGGGAATTAAGATGATACTGGACACTCTGGGTAAAGCACTGGGAAGTCAGGAGAGACATACATTGTACACTAGGAATTTTCTTGTCCTCACCTACGTAGATGCCATGACAGAACATTATTATTTTTATTAAGGTAAAGACCTTCCTTTTGTTTATCCCTTTATACCCCCCAACTCCCTCATTTCTTCTTTTATTTTGTATGATATACAAAATATAATACACATTTAATTGAATGCTTTAGGGAATATCTATCATCTGTCTATCATCCATCCATCTATCTATCTATCTATCTATCTATCATCTATCTATCTATCTATCTATCTATCTATCTATCTATCTATCTATCTATCATCTATCTATCATCTATCTATCTATCATCTGTCTATCTATCTATCTATCTATCTATCAATCATCTATCTATCTATCTATCTATCTATCTATCTATCTATCTAATCATTTAGCTAGCTAGCTAGGTATCTAGCTATGTCTTGATTTGCACTCTGCAGGAATGTGAACTAGTATGGTTATCCATCATTTAACTGACAGCTATTGAATCCCTACTCAAATATGCACAAGCATATTTGGCCAGATTAATATTTTGGATTAATTGGACTTTATTCTTGAGAACGGCCTTTCAAATCAGGTCAACACAAGTTTTCTGGATGCTGTTCCCGTGCATATAACTATGCTATGCGTTGGGAAAAGTGCATAAACAGGTTTATCAGTGTTTTGTATTTGTTTTAATTTGTTCATTTTTTTTTCTTCAGAATGTTTCAGTATACTAAATGGGTGCTTTGAACATTTTTCTAGAAGGTCCTATCTAGTCTGCAAAACAAATTTAATTTGGGAACTCACATGAACAAGGTGAAAAGTTGTGTTTGTAAAGTTGTGTTTTATACATCTTGGCAAAATATGCTTGAAACTCTCAAGGGGGACAGATTGTGAACATGGAGAGAGATTGAAGAATAAAGACAGCTATGAAGACTGAAGTAGGACTATAGTACTGGGGAGGACATGAATCATTGGGTCCCCATCCTAGTTCGAATTAAATTACACAAAGGAACCCTAAAATGTGCCCATGTCCATTCCTGCTTTCCGGGGGCATTTTAATCGGCCCAACATTGACATCTAGGTATCTTATAAAGACTCCTCTGTTTATTTCAATGTGTATCCCACCAAGATGGGCAGGATGAGATGGGTAAGATGACTGCACGGGGGAAAGGAAGATGAGGCCAAGAACTCCAGAAGGTCCTGAGCTCACCAAAGCGGGATAACATGGGTTCAGTTAAACGTTAGAGAAACGCGGAAGGAAGCACAGGGTACACAGCAGGTGGTGAGAACAAGTTCACTGTTTAAAGACTCACTGAGGCTACAGTGCCAGCCAAACATCCAGAGAGGCCACGTTGTGTAAGAACTGAAGAGTTCAATTGCATTCGTAATTAGAAATTATCATTTGGCTTTGGACAGAGCAGTTTCATTCAACCGTTCTTTGGAAAATTGAGATTTCAGTGGGTTGAAAAATAAGAGACAGACTTGAGAGTAGAAATAGTGCATGTTGACTTCTCTTTCAATAGGAAGGGAAACAGAAAAGATAGTGATTTAGTCAAAGCACCATCAAAAGAGATTTTATTTTTACTGACATGTGAGAAGAGTATGACTATATATATGCCACAAAGAATGGAGGAGGGAGGAAGTAGGGAGGTAGACACAGAATCTGAGTGTAGAAAAAAAGTAATTGATGAAGGAAAGGGTGTGTGTGCCCATACTGTATGAATATCAAGGAGGATCAAATTCTGTAGATCATCCCCTAGGACTGGAAGAGTGAAGAGGGACTTGGATTAGCTCTTGAAGGATCTTCAATGTAGTAGTGACTATGCTAACGTAGATTACAATCAAAGCACATCCATTGAGCAATGACCAATGGTTGGTGAAGCCAAGTAGAAATTTTAAGATGGACTTCATTATTTTTTTATCTTATGTGCATCAATGTTTGCAACATGTATGAAAGGGCATCGTGTATGGGTAGGATGGTACATCCATGTCTTTATAAAGGAGCATCATCTGCTGACAACAAGAAATGGAGCATCTAAGGAGAATGAAAAACATTTGCAACAGATTTAGTGTATCTTGACATGGAGAGTTGCAAGGTCAAAGCAGAATCCTCAGCATCTAATTGGAAGCAGTGTGTTATTCTCTATCAGGATACTCTCTACAGTCTGGATAAAGGAAAGTGAAGAGCTGGAACGATCTTTCGGTGAGGATGGGCAAGACTTTAAAATTATAGTGACTAGCCAAGCATACTAGCAAAGTCTTTAGCCCTAGCATTTATGAGGCAGAGGTAGGCAAATTTCTGTGAGTTCAAGGCCATCCTGGTTTATATATTGAGTTCCAGGATAACCAGGGCTACATAGTGAGATCCTGTCTCAAAAAATAGACAGAAACAAAGTTCAAGATCTTCCTTAGCTATATGTTGAGGCCAACTGTTGGTACATAAGACCTTGTCATACACACACACACACACACACACACACACACACACACACACACACAAACAAAAACAAACAAACAAACAAACAAAAAAAAAACCTACCTTTTCTTTAGCACTTGATTCATCCTATGAGTTCTACCTAAGAACCTAACATGGGACATTTACTTAAATCCTGCTAGAGATAGGTGTTGTGTTGCCACTTTGTAAGGACACAGGAACTCAGAAAGGTTTAGCAATTTCTCTAGTATCATACTGAGTGGCGAAGCCAGGATTTTAAACAGTGTTGGAGGAAAAGTGTGCACAGTGAGGCTTCAGAAGATTCTGGGCATGTAAAATGATGCTCATGAATCCAGGAAAGGCCTAGAGAGACTAGCAATGGGTATTGCAGTGGAGAGTTAGGTTTAGAGGTCCCTCATTTATTCACTAGTAGCTATTTTTGTACACCTTTGTGCCAAGAGCTGTGTGAGACATAATGCATAAAATTAAAGTGGTAAGTCTCACTTTCCTTTGAATAATGCCTCTCCTGTAAAGGGTCATTAATGAATTTATATCAATGCTGTAAGAATCTTCACAAGTTGTATTTAATGTTAAATTTTTATGGTCATATGGCTAAAAACAGAACCAATGAGTCCCCCAAATGAGGAAAACAGTCATCCCAAAAGAAGTCCTTGGTTTTGATGGTAGGTGATCATATTAGTAACTAAGGACATCAGCAATGCCTGAATATTTCACAGAGATATTAATAAGATATTTGTATTCTACTTTATGAGATTATATTTGGGGTTCAGTTTACAGCGAGGATTTCTGTCTTTGAATCCACTCACAATGTGTCATCCAGAGATTTGCTGGGGTGTGTATTGGTGATCCACTCCTTTGTAGCCCTTATCCAAGCACGGTGGTATAAAACACATTTGTTATTGCTCCCAGGTCTACCAGCCAGCAGAGTGGTTCTGTGAATCTTGGTGACCTCATTTCTGTGTCGGCTGGTAGCTGTGGCAGACGGGGCAGTTTCAGAGAGTTTTTTTCTTCCTCTCTCACTGTTGTAATTGCTTATTTATTTGCTTTTTACCTAATCTGCAATCCTGATCTTTTCCTCTTAGTAATCTCCTTGTGCATCAGGAACTGGGCTATGACAGGCAGTATCTGAGTATCTGAGTGATCTAATACATACCACCTGAGAGCTCACTTACTGACATTGAGTTTGCTTCCTGTTGCTTGGCTAACCCATTCACCATTTGGAAATGCTGGATATCAGCTGTGAGGGAAGAGCCTGGCAAACAGATCATGGCTGTGACTGCAGGGCAAAAGTCACTTTCATTTCCCCTCCCCCTGTCTGCTAGTTACATTTCTTACACAGTGCATCAAAAGGGTCACAGCGAAACAGTCAGGGACATTAAATGGCTCCTTATAATTTCCATGCCAAACAACGTCAGCAGTGTTTGCTGGTAAGCTCATGGCAAACAGTATGCATTAGGAAACACAATCCAATTACCCATTTAGCGGTTGTGTGTTGTGGAGCACACAAACAATACATTGCCATCTCACTGTCAGTCACTTCAAGTAGGTCACCAAAAATGCCCC